TTCTAACTAAGAACCATGCAAAGGGTATAATCACACCATGTTTCCAAATGATCAAGCCAAAATCCTTTCAACACAGGCCCTTGCTTGCAAATAGCAGGAGTCTCATAATTGATATACTTGACACCTATCAGGTACACCAAACCATCTTTTCATTCTCTGCTACTTATATTTACATTATGTGTCCATGATCAATGGAACATGGAAACTTCATTGGGAAAGACTACAACCCAACTGGGACATTAATGAACACCTAGTATGTCATATAGTATAACAAATCTACCTTGGCACCCCACAGTTTGAATCCACACCAACTCCCTTGTCATGTTCTCCACAACTGATATAGGCTATATATATATACATCAACAAGCTCTGTCTATCATCATCATCATCCCTCAAAACACTCCTTGTCCAAGCAAGATATCTCACCAACTTCCCAGCCCATCATCACTCAAACACCCTCGAATCCATCTCATGCGATTCAACTTCATCATCCCTCATTCAGTATTCAATAATGAAGCCAAAACTCCAAAACAGCATATATACACACCTTCCCTTCTTCTCTCGATGTCTCTGACTTATTGAATGCGGCAAACCCACATACAGACGAACCCAAAAAAAATCATCTATCAACAAAAATCTCTCCATGCGCGTTTCCCATTTCCCATTTCTCGTCTTTCGATCAACAAAAGCCGGACCGTTCGTCCAAAGACTCCCTACAAACTCAAACTCAAACTCAAACTCAACAGCAACGCAACGCAACGCAACAGCAACACAAACCCACATCAAAGCAACTCAAACTTGATCCATAAAACGAGCGTATGTATGTACGTATGTACGTATGTACGTATGTAATGTACGTATGTTACGGTTACGGTTATAACCACGATAGAGAGCGGCATAGCTGGAATCCAGCCGGGGTATCATCAAATCAAATCAAATCAAATCAAAATAGCACTGGTCGACGTCAACGCGACGCGACGATGTTTAAAAGGAAGGAGAAGGAGCAAAGTAGAATAAAAAAAAAAAAAAGTCAAAAGGAGAGGCGCAGTCAAACATGGGCGACTAGAAGATATCATAAGAAGAAAAAAGACTTTCTTTGTTTTTTTTTTTTGAGGAGTGTAGTCTGAAAATGAAAATGAAAATGAAAAAAGCAACAAAAAAGAAGGTAGGGGGGGTGTTAAAAAACCCCCATTTCGCTCACAGCACAGCACACGAGGTATAGTGCATAGTGCACAACCCCACCCACCTCACTCCTCCTCCTCCTCCTCCAACACATTATGCAACGGCGCCCCATGCACATACCTCCCCGGACTCGCTCGCCCCGCCGTCCCCATCCCCGTGCCCGTGCCCTCACCCCCAACGCGCGGCGGCTCGAGTGGCCCTGGCCCAACAAGCGCCTGCACCGCGACTTTCGGTACAGGCGCCGCGAGCGGGACTACGCCGCCCCCGCCCTCTTTCATCAACGAAGACGAGCGGGCGGGGAGCTGCGAGGCTTGGGGCTGGGTCTGCGTCGGCGTGGTAGGCATCGGCATCTGCGTCGGCGTGGTAGGTACCTGCACCTGCACCTGCGTCGGCGTAGTAGGCGTAGTAGGCGTAGTAGGCACCTGCGTAGGCACCTGCGCAGTCATCGGCGCAGTCATCGACACAGCCATCGACACAGACCCAGACTTGAGCGAACTCGCCCTCTCTCTCTCTCGATACATCTCTATCAAAGCCGCAGTCTTGCTTATCGGCGCTGCTGCTGCAGGTGCGGGCTGGGCGTGTCCGTGTCCGTTACCGTGTCCGTGTCCGTTAGGACTCGCTGGCTGTTTTGCAGGTGCGTGTTTCTGAGACTGGGACTGGGACTGGGGATCGACTGTGTATGGCTCGATTTTGATCACCGGGACTGGAGATGGAGGTGCATGCGCAGGCGGAACAGGCAACTTCCTAACAACCGCCCGTCCACCCAACCCCCTCTCCTTCCCCTCCTCCTCCCCCTCCCCCTCCTCATCCTCACAACCCCTCCCAACAATCCTCCGTTCGGGATGTAAATCAAAATACCCCATCCGCCTCCGAGGTTGCTGCGTCTGCTGCTCATGTTGCTCCTGCTGCGCCTCCTCCTCACGCTCATCCGTATACCGACTCTCCTCACTCACACGCTCCACATAAAACCGATCCAACCCCCCCTCAGAATCCCGATCAACCCTACTCCCAATCGACACCGCCCTTTCCCTTTCCCGCGTCTGGTCCCTCACACCCGCCAACACACGCTCAACCTCCCTACTCACCACATCCGGATCCTTCTCCTTGTCCTTGTCCAACTCCAAATCCTTGCCCAATTCCACTCCCCCACCCCGCCTCCCCACCAAAATATCAACCCACGCTTCATCCCCCTCCCCCCGCCCCTCCCCCCTCCCCGTCCCAAACTCAAACTCAAACTCCCACTCCCCCGCCGCCCCAACCCTCCGACGCGCAGGACTCACGCCGCCACCACCACCACCCGTCACGTTCACAGACACAGGCACGTTCACAGGCAACCGAAACAGCCCACGCGACCTCTTCGCAGATCCCGATCCCGTAGACTCCGACTCTGACTGCGAATGTGCAGAGTCGCTTTTCGGCGCCGGCGCAGGCGCACGCTCCGTCTCCACGTGTGGCTCCACATAAAGCGGGCCCGAAATCTTCTTTTTCCTTTCCGGCTCCTCCTCCTCCGGCTCCGCCTCCATCTGCACCGACGACGGAACCGACTCCCTCGCGCCCAGCCTAATAACCTTCGTCCCCGCATCCCGTCTCAAAATCTCCTCAAACTCCACTTCGCGGGACGTCGGACTCCTCGGTACGTGTCCAACGACATACGGACGTCCGTTCAGCGTCGGTGCTTGTTTCCATCCTTTTGTGTTTGTGTACGTCGTCATCGATGACGACTTTGATTTGGATTTGGATTTCGATTTCGATTTGGTTGATGGGGACTTGAGACTGTTCGTGAATAGAGATGGTAGACGACGACGGCGCGCAGACGGTGGAATCGCGAGCTGCTGTCTATATTCGAGCGGTACAAACTCTTCGAATAGGATTAGACTCGTTGACGTGCGTGGGTCCGCGTCTCCAGACACGGTTGATCGATTCGGGGGGAGGGATTTGAACTCTACCTGGAGTAGATAGCCGTAAGACAACCTCGAAGCGCCAGAGAACAAAAACACAGACCAGAGCCCAATTACACTCCCTCTCTGACGACTCGAGATCCATCCAGCCACCTCCATACAGGAGATCGCAAAAAACATCAACAAACGCCTCCTCGATGATCTCCTCGTTGACAATGACGGGCTCGGTATCCCAGCCGAACGGCGGGAGCGCCTTTTCAGTGTTCTTCACCTTTTTGTCAATCTCGGCGTGGTGTGCGGGCCATGAAGAGATGGTGTTTGCGACGGGGGTGCTGAACTGCAGCGTCGCGCTGAGGGGCGCATCGCCGCGGCTAAAGCCGGTAGACGAAAAGTCAGCCCAGTTGAGAGATTCACGCTTCGCGGAGCGTTCCTGTGAGAGCATGAGTGTGATTACGAATTAGGCAAGAAGCATGCATGACTGACGGTACGGGCGCTCTCTGTGAGATCAAATTGCAGCTTTTTCGCGTCGTCGAGGGTGGCAAAGCCCATGGACTCGAATTCGCCCCACTTGAGGTCGGTGAGGCTCCGGGGGGCGCAGAGGCTGTCGGAGGAGGAGGCGGCGGCGAGGGGCGGGGGGGAAAGGGAGCCGGTGTCTGGGTGGAAGTTGCTGGGCATGGCCATGCGTTTTCTGTAGGCGTCCGAGTAGCGCGGGGGGAGCTTGAAAGGGGCGATGCGGGCCCATTCGTTGGAGAGAGCGTTCTTGGGAGACGCCCAGGACGCGGCAGACTTGACGAGGTCGGGGGAGTAGATGCGGACGTTGCGGCGGACAGCGAGGATGCGGACGGTGCGGGCGGCAGGGCGGGGCTGGTTGGGTGGTTTGTGGAGGACGGCGGGGTAGCGGCGGATCCAGTCGGCGAGGCGGACGGGGATGGGGATGGACGGGGCGCTGGTGGCGTCCTGCCAGCGGATAAAGACGAGCTGGAGATGCTCCATGGCGTGGACGGCGCGCAGATAGTGGGCGTATGTCTGGTGGAACGCGAGCGCGGCGGGGCCCAGGCCAAAGACGAGCGGGCCGAACAGCGGGGAGAGCGTGGGCGGCGTGTGGCCCGAGCGCGTGCTGTGGGCGGTCAGGCGCGACAGCAGCGTCAGCAGCGTGATGAGCACGGTCTGCAGCGTCGGACTCAGATTCTGCAGCAGCGCGGCAAAGTGGCCCGGCGGGAAGCCCTGCGCTGTGGGCCAGTCAGCCAGATCTCACCGCAGCACACAGCACGCACCCGTCTCAGACTCGCGGAACTCGCCATACGCCTCCCACGACAGCAGCCCCCGCACCGCCTCCCGGCCCACCCACCGCACCGCCCGCCCCAATCCCCACCGCAGGCACATCCCCAGCTCGTGCGGCCCCGCAAACCCCGCCTCGTCCCGCCACCGCCGCTCTGCGTCCCCCGTGCTGTCCCCCCGGCACGTCCCCAGGAACCCCTCGATCAGCCGCCGGATCCCAGACGTCGAAATGTCCAGCGCAGTCGTCGAAAAGATGAACGGCGTCGTCACTCCCCCCCGCGTCCCCAGCTCCCCGCACACCACCGTCACCAGCCGCGACACCTGCTCCAGGCCCAGCACCACGTCCCTGTGCCACCCCAGGTACCCATACTCGTGCCCTACAGTCCTGGCGCCGCCCAGGTCCAGCGGGAGAAAGCTGCCATCAGCAACGGCCGACTGTGTGCTCGAGATGCGCCCAAACTCGTCCAGCGACTCCTGCGGCTGCGGCTGCGGCTTCTTCTTTGGAGTAGACGTCCGCGAGAATAGACTGGGCATTGATTCCCTCCAATTTCCTCTGCGCCCTTCAAGTGTGTCTCTCTTCGGGAATCTCCGTCCCGCCCTTCCATGGACAATGTCAATCACCAACAACAACAAAAAAAAACCTGTCCTGTGGAGGATTCGAACTTCCGGCTTCTCGGAGCGTCTAGTCCACAACGAGATGATTTAACCAACTAATCGAACAGGACTTGTCAGGAGGCGAACGTGGGTGCGGGACAACAGGTGGCATGGTTCGGCGGGCACACGATAGGAGGTACACCCAACGTCCAACCATGAGCATATTTCACTGCGTTTAACCTTCTACCTCAACTTTGAGGTAAACAACTCGATCGATGAGCCCATGTCTGATATCATGATCAATTGATACAAACCCACAAACAATCTACCCAAAAACGGCCATAGTCAACGCACACTCCTCATATATCAGTCAGTTGTCAGTTGGCTCATGCGTGATAGATGAGCTCGGGGAGACCAAGTTCTCGGACACACTCCGAGCGCCTACGGAACAACGTTCACATGCCCACGAAAATCCAATCAGCGATCCGACGATCCAGACCAAACTCTATGAGCACGATCTTCGACGCGTCAGCCCTCTCGATGCCAGAACGTCCGCATAGGCCCGGGGCTCCGTCACACCATACGAAATATCAGGAAATATCCTTGCCAGTCGTGTTTGAAGAGCGATGAACGGTCCAAGGACACGCGATGAGGACATACATGCACAAGGCCTCTGCGATGGTATCTAAACCTAACTGGCTACAAAGTTCTTCCTACTTTAGCTAACGTGTACGATACATCGTGTTTGAAACTCGAAATCCAAACGCCGAACGCCGAACGAGCTGCAATGCACGTGCAACGAGAACATACATACAAATCTATATCGTAGTATCAAATATCAATCCGAGAGGACTTGATACAGACGGTCAACACCAACTCAGCCCCAACCCAATGTCAATAAAATTTCACAATCAAGTCCATTACTATTTACATCTCGTCGACTTCTCCTTATTACCATGTTCCAGTTCTCCTCTTTCCCCCTCCACTCACATTTCATTCGATATCGATATCTTGTTTTTCCCCCTCTTCAATTATCATATCGTTTTCACGATCTCGTGGTTCCAAGACTTCTCCTACCTTGTTTAATTCCTATCCTCATTATCTCCTATGCTACTTAGTCTATATAAACCTCGATGTATTCACCTACTTACTAGCTTCGTGGAATCAACATTCCTTCACTGCTTGAACTTGAAGTCTATCAAGTATTCCGAACCCTTACTCCTCAGCTTATCTCGTTATCTTATCAAATGGGATCTTGACACCCCAACCTCCTCACACACACAACGTAAGATGCAAGATGCATCCAGACCCGTTCGCGTGGTGATAAATAAACTTGGAATGACCAAGTTCTTGGAAGCAATACACACATGCAATGCAATGCGATGCAATACATCGTGTGCAAACTTCGTGCTGGTTCATGCATGCACGAACGTCGAAAGGAAGGAATCACACACCCATCACCCAACAAGACAAGACCGATCCAATGAAAGACCTTGATCAACGAATGTCTGTGGGGATGAGAACGATACAATTACTTACTCCTACTCCTATCTCCGAAGCCTCAGCCTCTGCATCTGCCTCTGTGCCAGCTCGATGCCGGAACTGCTGGGGCGATGAACGACGATGACAATTACTTACCGATGGCGATTACTTATCGATGGAGCGATAGGCCCGGGGCGGGCGCCACGCCCACTATGCAACACGTGTGTACGTGCGCTAGTTGTGTTTGGCCGTCCGTCGGAGAGCGATGAACGTTCCAAGGACACGCGATGAGGACATACATACATACATGTATGTTACCCGAGGGCGATCACCATGTCGGGACGATTAACCGATAGGGCTCTGCGATGATATCTAAATCTAACTGGTCACACGGAGCTCAGCTCGGGCTTGACCCCGGTAATTCAAGTCCAAGTCCGAGTCCGAGTTCTTACTATAGCTAACGCGCGCGATGGATCGTTTTCGAAACATTTGAAATTCGAACGCCGAACGTCGTAGGGAGCTGTATCGCACGTGCAAGGAGAAAATACATACATACATACATACAAATCGCGATGCTTCAACTCAAAACCCAACACCTCCCCAACCCAAACTCCTCACACACACCCCGCAAGATGCATCAAATGAAGACCCGTTCGCGTGGTGATAAGTAAGCTTGGAACGACCAAGTTCTCGGAAGCAGTACACACATCCAATGCAATACAATGCAATAATGTCGTAGTATCAAATGTCAATCCGAGAGGACTTGATACAACCGCAGACGGAGCTAGTCAACCCAACTCAACCCCATCACCAACCCCGAACGAACGTCGAAGGAATTACAACACCCACCACCCCAACAAGACAAGACAAGACAACACCTCCCAACAAGACCCATCCAACCCGCAATGCCCGATGCAGGCACACATCTCACAATCCAACCACCCAAATAAAAACACCTCTGATCTCAGCAATCCACAATAACAAATAACTTTGTGCAAACAATACTAATACCAATACCAAGCTACCAAGTAGCTGAGGCTTTACTCCATCTTCAACCACCAAATTTTGTTCTTGATTTTTGTTCCCATATGATAAGGTTATTAGGCACATGATCTGGTCTGACTGGGTATCCTTTTCTTGTTCTCAATTTTTGCTCCCTTCTGGCTATCTCCACCAGCTATATAATGACTATGAACATCATGTGACTTTGACCTACTCTCACTGGGTATCCTTGAATTTTGCTCCTTTAAGCATGTGATCTGGTCTGACTGGTTCCTGGTTTGCTCCCTTTCAGCTACTACCACTGGCTAACATTGTGAAAATGAACACCATGTGTGTCCTCAAGTTTTGCTCCCTTCCAGCTATCACATCCAGCTAATATTGTGAAAATGAACACCATGTGACTTTGACCTACTCTGTCCTTAAAATTTGCTCCCTCCCAGCTATGTTCTTTGGCTATTACCACCAGCTAATTAACGGAATAACATGTAAGTTGCTTTTTTCATTATTTTTTTCCCTTCTTTTTCTGTTATTCTGATGTATTCTTTAATATTTCTGTTTTCTTTTTGGTTTTTGACTGTGGTGTTCTATTTGGACTAGGGAACACTACAGATAATATATATATTGTATTTCTTTCAGGACAGCTTTGCAATGTGTCTGTGTTCATGACAACCAGTTAAATTTATGAAGGTAATTTCATAATGTGTTAACTTTCCATTGTTTGAGATGAAATATTTGACAAAAACACTGGGCTGGCTGGCTACAGCAATGGATTACATAATCCACTTGATGAAAACACTGGATAAGGCAGCCACCACACCCACAATAGATAATACAATAATACAATCATACTTAGCACTTGAATAATGCAATATGCAATACGTGTGTACGTGCGCTAGTTGTGTTTGGACGTCGGAGAGCGATGAATATTCCAAGGACACGCGATGAGGATATACATGCACATCGAGAGTATGTTACCCAAGGACGATCATGATACCAACAGACATACCGGCAGGACATGTCAGGGACCGGGCGAGAAACGTCGATATACATGATATATAACTGGCTACACAGCATAGTGATAGGCCTAAGAAGCTCGGATAAACTATCCTCGAACTTTGAGCGCCTGTTTCATGAACGAACGGAAATATACACGAAATATCCTTGTCTGCGCTAAGGTTCTCAACTGCACTACGTATGTACGGTACGTGCGATAGATCGTGTTTGAAGTGCTTGAGGCTTGAAGGGTGAAGAGCAATGAATATTCCAAGGACACGCGATGATATACATACATACAGACATATCGTGATGCACATCGAGATGAGATCATCGAGAGTATAGAACCCGAGGACGATCATGATACCAACAGACATCGACACCTTCGAAGCCTCAAGCCAGTAGGACATGTCGGTACGACTAACCGATAGAGCTCTGCGATCCACAATACATGATATCTGACTGGCTACACCGCATGGTGATAAATCAGCTCGGGCTTGACCCCGGTAACTCCAAGTCCAAGTTCTTACTAACGTGTGCGATAGATCATGTCTGAAACTTGAACGTTGAACACCTGTTTCATGATTCATGAACGAACGTCGTAGGGGGTTGCAACGTGCAACGTGAACTCGAGATCGTATGTCGTAATATGAAACCCGAGCCCACCTGGATGTAGAGTCCGTTTCTATGTAATGTTTTGTACGACGTGTGGGTCTACATCCGGCATAAACTCGGAGAGGGGAATCACAGCCCCTTTCATAAACGCTAGACCCCTATGGCATAGATAGCTACACAAGAAAATGAACATTTCATATATATATATCGGCTTAGCCTGTCACATAAAACAAGAGAGACGAGGGGCGATTCAAAAGCTGAACAAAACCAGGCGGGAAAACACTGCACAAGTACAAGTAGGACAAAACCGCCGCAACTTTATAAATTGCGATAGAGAATCAGGGGTAGGTAAAAGAAAGAGAAAGACGGGTGCTGTTGGTAGGAGAGTTCGCGACAGTTGACAAGTTCGACATGGGCATCTGTCGACCCCACGTCTCGGCAAACGCGGCCATCAACTGATCGACGACCGTAAACAACCTCAAACTCAAAGGGTTCTATGAAAGGGTCAACAACAACAACAGACTATGTAACGCGAGCGTACCCGTGGAGAGCGGATGATAGTGATAAATAGTGTTGGGAGAATCGATATCGATGGGCACGAGTACGCGGACCGGAAATCCCGGTGACCCCCAACACCTCTAGGTAAATCATCATCATTCTCGCGGTGTCAACCTTTTTGGGGTCTACTTATACATCGATATTCATGGATCAACATTAATCAGCGCTTGGCCATAACTCAATACTATATAGCACCCGACTCGGTTTCTTTCGACATCGCGCGCGCTGTCTCCTAGTATGATCCAGATCTTGATGGCTACTGAAAACCTAGTTCAAAAATGGGACTTGATTATAAAGTCGTTGAAGGCAGTGTTGGCTCTAAGGATTAAAGGTCAAGCGTTAAATACATGCTAAGGTTAAAGCTTAAGATCATAGCAAGATGATATCAATGCTTCATTAGACACCCAGATGGGGCAGCTGTGGAGCTCGACAACAGAGGAAATCTAAAGTTGTCATTAGCATTTGTGGTCAAAATCTCCTA